TGTTGATCCCGTGTCGAATTTATTTATTTATTTGTCGTCAATTAGTGTAGTCCGTTTTACAATTGCTTTCTTAAGTGCTTAAGTTCCTGAGCCAGTCGTTACATAAGCTCCCTGGCGGTGAAAGACTTGGCCGATCAGTACAAAAATGTTTACTTTACAAAGCATCCAGCTAGTCAAGGTATTTGGGCTGGTGGCGTCGGATGGATTTTTTTTTTTTTGCTTTATTTGTTTTCCGTGCTGAGCACCAATGCTACCGACGCCAGGGTGGCAGCTCCCACACCTGGACCCTACCTATCGACCCATCAACTCATGAACGGGGGCTAACGGCGTGATCAGAGATGTTATGCCTCAGAACATCCCGGTGGCACCGACTGGGATTGAACCCAGGCTTGCTGGGGTGATAGGTAATCACGCTTACCACTACACCACCGGCGCCGCTATTGTAAAAAATTGACCCGGTGTTCATTCATAAAGGGGATAAAATGAATACGGAGGTGTATATCGGCATTGTTAGTAAGTATATCCTTTCGTGGATCACTGAGCAATATGGGCCGGAGAATTATTTATTTTCCTTCAGTTTCTCGTCAAAATTTAATTGAAATTTTCTTTAAAATTTATTCTGAATTTCCATTAGAATTTCCTGTATCCAGAATAATTTTATATTCTCCTCAAAATTTCTGTGATATCTTCATCGAAATACTTTTATATATTCTTCAAACGGTCAGAATCAAGCAGATTTATCCAAGCCCATTAGCCACGTGATTTTTTACCATAATCTTAATTTCATAAATCTAGGATGTTGAAATTTTTCAAATTCTGATATCATAGGAGGTTTTCTAAGTCTTGAATTTTTTTGAAAACAGTCGAACGAACCTTAAGTTTACTTTATCAAGTTTCAGAACATTGAAAAAATCCCTGAAGTCTTAAAATCCTATAGATGTGATCAATTATTATTTCAAGTTCTAGATTTCTTATACAATTGTTTAGATCAATCTTTTACTCAAGTCCAATAGCATAAATATTATCTTGATCGGGCTTTCGTGTTTGCGTTAAAAAAAAGATTTTTCTACTAAACACTTTTAATCACTTAAATACTAATTTAAAAGCAACGCGAATGGCCTCGACTATCGATGAAAATAATTTAATTTGCAATGTAAATACTAAATCAAATAGATACTTAAAATCCCAAAAAACAATCGTACAGGCTTTGTTCACACAAATCTGGAGAATTTATTCAACCACAACATTGAACTACTTGGTGTTGTATAAGGTATGTCGAGAAGCTTTTATTCGACTTATATTAGTTGTAACAGAGCTTATTCGATAACATTTTTGATTATTCAGCGTTTCTTAGACATCACTGCTTCCTTAAAACATTAAATAAAAAACGCTTGATTCTCATGTGAAGTAACGTTTAATTAGACATTATTATACATTTATTAAACGATTATTCAACTGTGGGGAAATTAACCCGAAAACAAGAGACGGGAACAGGGGAAGGGTGTTTCTTTAGTGATTGTTTTCATTATTTCTGACGTAGCACGCACCACACCACACTTGGAGATATTTTATAATTTTTTACATACATATACACGTCGTTGGGATTCAAACCATGTCTCTTCCGATCACCTTGCCAGCTGAGCTATCCTAGAATTCATCATATGCGCAGCTCAATAATCAATAAAAGCTTGCTTGAAAGTGAATACCTATCAGCACTCCCGATCGCAACTCTAGCTCCTTCGAGGCCCTGTGGGAATGATTAGTACATTCATTGTTGTTCTACATGAGACCAATGTTACCTCTTCACCTCTCCAATTCCAAGGAAAGAATGCTCGGTTACTAGAGGTACTAGGGTTACTTATGGAAACTAGATCAATGCATTCATTGTCATGAGTCATGAGATCGATGATTACTATTTAAATGAATTAGACGTATAATACAAATAAAAAAAAGGGTTGAGCTTAACTCCAGACGAAACTAGAACCGCACTACCATTCATACTGGCGACAACTATCTGATGATACAACGAAACCTTACCCCAAGCTCCTCCCCTGATCCTATTCTTCAACAATATAACTCTCTAACCTCGAGTAAGCCACGAGTATTCGGTCCAACTCCTACTAGACATAGAATTAAGTGAATTTTGTTACAAACAAAGAACAATGAACTATCGGCTCCGTAAAGCTAACGCGATTGAGCCTTCCAAATAAACAAACTAGTTAAAATAAAAAAGGGTTGAGCTTGGGATTGAACTCACGATCTTCAACTTGGAAAGCGGAAACGGTTACCTCTACTCTACTGATTTCGTCTTGCTGAACCAGTGCTGTGGAATAATGAATCAAATACGTCGTTTATAAAGCATTTACAAAACATGCAATTCAAACATGGACGCATAGTGGTATAAGAGCTAATATGTTGACTGTAGACTGTATTCACCTTTATTCAGCAATATTGTAAAGCAATGCAATGAAATCTAACAATGGAGCTAGAAAACATTTATTAGACATTTATTAAATCAATTGAAAACAGTCGAATTAAAGTATCAATGTATGTGCAAATTACACTTATTCAGTTTGTTATTAGATCAAACTTCTAGCGATGAATTGGGAAGACAGTCAACTTTTATACAGCTTTTAATAAGTGGAATAAATGTGCATCTATCAATCTCAATGAGCTTTTTTCAGCACATAATTCGACAACTCATTTTATTCAGCACTATACACTGTAATACAGCGTTTATTCTATATATATGCTTATTTGTGGCTCTTAATTCTTTGTTGGGATTGCCTTTGAATTTTTGCTAAAGGATTTAAAAAAATAGTTTATAAATTTCATAAAACTGCAATATTTACTATATGTAAAAAGTGGGATAAAATTCAAAACATTTCAATTCTGTTGTGATCAAAATGTAAATAATTTATCGTAAAATAAAATTTGCAGAACATTCAAGCAAATACGTTTTTGAGAGTTTTGTAATAGGTGAAATGGCTCTAATGTTGGCCTATGGATCTAAGATTGGGCCCATCGCTAAAAATCTACTATTTATCAATTTGATCTTGGGGCGGTACTTATCGTTAATTTTGGTCGCTATTGAAAGTTTAGTCGATTGCTGAATTTATGTATGGGCCCAAATTAGGAGCATTTAGGCCAACATTACATCCATTTCCTCTAGGTAAAGTATCTTCAGTTGAATTCAAAATTTATGAAAATTATGGTTCAATAATTTAAGTTTACCGAATGTTAGAGACAAGTACGCATACCTTAGTTTGGAAGCTGTAGTTGTACAATCTTTAACATTTACTAAATTAGGAGGAGAAATTTTCTTTTACCTATAGCATGACTATAAAAAGTATTAATAAATAGATAAGAGTGTTTAAATACCATCGTATAAATGATAATTTGCATTTTTCCAGTGAACAAAAAGTGTTGACAGATAGGGGGGATAACAAGAGGCACGCTACGTCCCTGATGTAACCACTTTTTTTTTTCTTTATGTCGATGGTTATCTCGATACTTTGAAATGGTATAGTAGGCTTTTCTTGTTCAATATCACGATCCCTCCAAATCTCGAAGGTCCCTTCAATATCGAGGTATGGAGACTTGACTGTATAGCCTTTTGGTACACCTAGGTGTACGATAAAGACAAAATCTTATGTTTTTATATTTTTGATGTAATTTTTCAAGTATACTTTTAAAAATTAAAACGTAAAACCAGCACGATGAATTTTTCGTCAGCTATTGATGATAGAAAATAAAATACAAATACAAATACGCGCTAGCTGGAGTCATGCTCACTTTTTAGATTTAAAAACCATTCATGGGAAACAAGTGCTTAAGGCCACCATGCTAATATAAGATGTAGCTGGTATCAAAAATTCGATTAGAAGTTGAAAAGTGAAAGCTTAGGTAAACATTTACCTCCCTACATCATTAATTTTTAAACAGGTCCTACTAGTAGCGCTGATCTCGTGTATATAATAAATTAGCTTATGTTTGTATCAGCTTAAACAGTTTATTGCACATTACTACCATCATTTCTTTAACCGTAGAGTAAGTAACTTTAAGTATTCCAATTGAATATCATGAAAAATTCGCAACACAAGGATAAACGTGGTGATGGTATTGCTGTTGTTTATTTATTAGGGATACTTTCAGCCCAAGAAAGTGTAGTGAGGGCGCTTAAAGTTTCTTAATTTTTTTGACGTAGAACTACGTCTTTGTCGACTATACTGTTTTCTCAGTATCCTGAATCTTTCAACTTGGTTCTCGGTTTATAGTTACTAGATGAGAGCAAATAAGCTAAAATGCTCTATTTAACCTATATATAAAATCCAGTTGGTATGTACATTTGAGTACCCAGAGATCTCAGGGATTTTATTACTGGATTTCCCGAATTTATCAGGCAAAGCAGTAAAACCTAAATAACAGGTGTCGTAAAATCAGGACGTCAACGGTTACGTTCTGAATCCAAGACGGTAGGCATCGTTTTCACTCTCATCTTAATCGAAATGAGTGACATATCCTAAACCATCATGGGCATTAAATGACGGTAATACGTTGCTTTCTACCAGTAAATACTCTGATAAATTGGTATGTTTATAGAAATACATTAGCATTTCAATTAAATTTTTATTGCGGTGAATGTTTTTACGGGTGGTTGAAATTAGCAATATTGAATTAATTTACGCGCATAAATTTGTGGAGCATCTTTTTACAGTTTATGCGTATCTTAAAAAAATACCTCTGGCCTCATTCTCTCTCATAAATATCCTTTCCCTTGAAATTTTCTCACACTGGAAAAGGCGAAGCATATTGCTACTATAGGTACATTGCGTCCACAGGCACCTTACAATGGAAAGGCAAAATGAATGATGTATATATATCAAGTCCCAACTACCAGCGCTGCATCCAGCGAATACTGAATTTATTGTTTTCACGTGATCTAGACATCACCACAAAGCTTCAAGGATGCATCTGTATGGAATGCATGTTTTACTTACCAGCCAGCTGTGATGGTGTGTATCTGCAAATCGATTATTATCCTTTTGTATTGATTACTATCATGTCAGTCTTTGAAAACACAGTGATATATGTCAACTCTCTTTAACACTGTCACAAACGGTTTGGTGTATGCTCAATTTTTTGCTTGCGTTAGCTAAATAGCATTACTACCCAACCCAGGACCTACATGGAGATCATAAAACTGTCAATCAGAAATCTTATTGCCACTAATGCACCCAATTTTATCTCTTCACTCATATGCGAGTACGACGCATCTTCATAATTACAAAGTCATCACCACTATTTCACATCCAATATTAGATACAGCATGATGAATACACTTTCTGTAAAAAAAACTGAGTTACAATTTTTCAATATCGTATATCTGTAGGATGTTTATCGATTGTTACATATTAAATTAATAATTGTCAGTTCGTAATATGTATTATTCGTTGGCCAGCAGAGATAAAAATGGTAGCTTTTCCATTAAATCAGTCAGCGTATACATTTTGGATATAAGAAAATTGAATAGCGAAAAATCTGAACGAGCTGAGATTTTCACACGACACACACGTAATGCTATCTCAGATTGAACTGATGATGGGATCTGACGGAAAATTGAGAGTCTAGGCAAATACTCCTTCTTTGATAAACGAGCTGTAAATGGGCAAAGTCAGAGAGCAGGACAAAAGAGAAAATTTGATTTTCATCACATGAGAATACAAAAGCTGCCGCATGCGTTTTCCTAGAATCCAGAGCACAGCATCTCTCCTTGTTCATCCCCGGTATTGTGCATATCTCCAGTCACTCAAATTGCGAGCTCTTAATAGCGGTGAGTGGCTAGCGAGGGTAGGATGCCGAGCCGGAAGTTTTCCTATTTATGAATTGATAAATATAGTCAGTATAGCACAACATATGAACAAGCGGAGCTCTGTCCAAACTAATGTGCATCGTAACACTTTATTTACTTTATGTAATTGGTCAATAAAACTACGATGTCCCCCAAATTCCATATCATTTGAGAAAGACAGGGTAATGTGCCAAATGATGCACACCACCAACAACCATGACGTTGACCGGTCATGGTAACATGCTAATCAGTGATTAAGTGTTGAATTATAAAACAGGTGATACTCAGTATTAACATTTTTGATATTGTGCAGGAGATTTCTTAATTTTTCAGTTAATAATCCACAGTTGTAAAATCTAGATAGAGCTGGAATTAGGGCGTAACAGCCTTTGTAAACAATGACTTCTCTTGTTGATTTCTCGGAATTGAAGGCACGTTTACACAAACCAACATATCCATCGGGTAGGAGAAGTCTTCCTCTACTCGATGGTGATGTCGATTTGCCAGGGAGAGCCATGACTTCCGATAAATCATCGAGAGAAGTCATTGTTTACAAAAGCTGTTACGCCCTAATTCCAGCTCTATCTAGAAATAAGCTTTTACTATCTCAAATTAAATTAAATTTTGTAATCTCTACTGGAAAATTTTGGTTATTCTTTTATCTAACGAACTATTGCAATACAATCAATAATGTAAAATTTACTGAAAAAATATTAATGTTCCATATTTGGATCACATTTGGACGGTCCTGGAATATTGTATATGGGAATAACGCCTAAAAGTATGCAACTACTACTACTGCGTATATTTTGCTTCGATTATTGAACGGTTCAATAAAGTCAATAAAATACCTAATATCGTAAGTACAATGTACCGAAAGTTATGTTTATTCATCTAACAGAATCACTGAATGATTATTCTAGCTGAAAACTTTCATTCCAAAATGGATTCAGTCATAGTTTATGGGTGTGCAATAATTAGATTCAAAGTGTGCAATAATAGAATTTCAGGGCAAATGATGCGTGCAACAATGGAGAACAGAGGCACATTCAAAAGTTGTATTATACGGAATGTGTTTACCAATGTAAATTGCAAAATAACAAAAAGCACGTGCTTAGCTGTGCAAAGTTGGCAAATTACCCTAATAAATAATAGATTCTGCACGTTGTAGTTGCTCTTGAAATGTTTAGCTTGGGATTGCGTTCATATTGCACACACAGGGTTAGCTATCTATCAATCCCATGATACTTTTGATGTTTGTACAATCGTAAAAATTGCTGTTTAGACGCTTGTGAGTATTATATAACTATATTACATTCATTTAAATGCAAAGAATCGGCCAGATACCATTGCACTCCGGATGTTTATATGTTCTGTATTCGTATTTTTTTTTATGTATGAAAACGTAAGCAAATTTCAAACACTTCCTCTCCCTCGAAATGCTTACGTTATTATAGAATGTTCCCTGCGCTATTGCTGCACTATAGAAGTGGAAAAAATGCAAGGAAAAAGAAGTGAAGAAGAAAGAAGGAGAAACCCAGGCCTCGTCGGGAGCGAAGTAAGGGCGATGCTCTGATCGTCGAAGCAAAAGACAAAACGTCATATCCCAAGTAACACAAATTCATAGGATTATGTTGAGTAAACTGCTATACAACCAAAAGCAGTCATACAAAGGTTATATAAACTGTTATAGAACATGTGTGTTGCTTGGGATGCAGCACTCCTTCGGAAGGTTCGAGAGGATCCGGAGTTGAACGAGAGAACATGGTGAAAACCAGGCGCACCCAGAAAGGCGAGATGCTCTTTGAGCTGAAAAAGGATCATGCAATCAAGAGCTCAGCCTTCAAGGAGCTCGTCGAATATTCTCTTGGTGAAGGAGCGAACGTAAGAGCTCTATCCCAGGAGACAGTGGTCGTGCGCAGCGACGAGAGTGCACTGCGATCTGCGAGACGTTCCAATATCAATCCGGATGAGGAAGGCGTACGGCGGCATGCAAACGGCGGTGATACGACGTTCGACAGTTGCAGTGAACATGCGGTTGGAGATGGGCAAGGTCAAGGTTGGGTGGTCAGTGTGCTCGCTCAAAGCCACTCCTCGTGTAACCAAGCAACTGGAGCGATGCTTCAAGTGCATGGGTTTCGGTCACCAGGCGATGAACTGCAATGACCCTGACAGATCTGATCTGTGCAAGAAATGCGGGAAAAAAGGTCATATTGCAAGAGGCTGCACGAAGCAACCGAGGTGAAGGTGCTCTGCAAAAAGAGAGAGGAAACTATCATACGACAAGAGGCTTCAAATACCTAGCATACAAAAAGGCGATGGCAGGCCAACAGTAATGGAGGTAACCCAAATAAACCTCAACAATTGCGACACTGCTCAGCAAATGTTGTGGCAGTCAACAACATAAACAAAGTGCGACGTTGCAATCATTGCGGAACCCTATCGAGTCCCTTCCGATAAAGGTAAGTGGGTCGCGGATAGAGCTAGGATGGTTGCTATACAAGTTATGGGCAGCTACTCTATTCAACAAGTGGTTGCGAGCTCATACGAAGGTTTCATGATCGCCAAAATTTACGGAATCTTCATATGTAGTTGTTACGCACCCCCCAGAAGGACGATGGAGCAGTTCCATGAGATGCTACATGGACTTACCGAAGAGCTGATTGGACGACGACCGGTAGTCATCGGAAGAGACTTCAATGTTTGGACAGTGGAGTGGAGAAGCAGATGTTCCAATGCAAGAGCGCACAATTTGCTGGAAGCTCTGGCAAACCTGGAAGTTATGCTGGCAAACGGCGGCACCAGCAGCACTTTTTGCTGGGATGGCCAGGAATCCATTATCGACGTTACTTTCTGCAGTCCGTCCCTGGTAGCAAACATAGATTGGAGCGTGTGTTCTATCTCAACTCAAAACGGAAATGCATAAAAAAAATAACAAAATGATACACTCCTTGCACACTGTCAAAGATCATCGCACACAAAACCAACTTTGTTCAAATCAAAACAAAAATACTAGCCCATCTGGTGGCTGATGGCACAAGCTTCGAAGAAAATTGTATTACAGCGAACCACATAATTTTAATTTATTTCTTCGCTACACACTTAAACAGAGACCCTGAGTTCGGTAAAAAAAAATTACCGTCTTAGATCGGTAATGCTAAACAATAACAGATGTTTCGGTATTTTCTCGCTTTATTGCTGGAAACTGTAAATGAAATGACCGAATTTCGGTAATTTCATTTTAATTTACCGAAAATGGTAAACATTTTTACCGGCAGGTATGTAAATCAGCTTCATCACTGACTTCGGTGAAATATTTTACTGAAGTTTCGGAAAACAAAGCGTTCCATTACTGAGTTCGGTAATGGTCTAGGTAAACGTCAAATCCACCATATTTTCGATCGACTTTAAAAGCATTCGTGCTTGTGAAAACTAAAAAGGTGAAATTATGGAGGCTGTTATTCAACACCAAAATGAGTGAATCGTAGATATTTTCCGTAAATAATTAATTTCCGTTATTTAAATAAATACCGATTACAGATGACCGATGTTGTTGCTTGTTTTTTTCTGTCGGTCCAAGTTCCATTCCTGTTGGTGCGATCTGAAAACAGCATTTGGAATATTCTTCCAAAGCTTCCTTGTTTTCAGTGTAGCGCCGAATCCTTCCGGCAAAAACTTGGTTTTGTTCATTGGTGGTGCAATTTGCAACACTAACTTATTGATCACGACAGCAGCCACATTTTTGCATGGGTTGCAGTGACCGCCACCTTGAAACAATATTATAGCAAATTACAGTTGGTTCGATTTGCATATCGTCTTCAAAATTAAAGTTCTCCGGTAAAGTCGACTACAAATCAAGCAATGCACATCGGTAAACGTTACCGAGCGTTCGGTAAATTTGACAGCTAATTTTGCTGATCCAGTTTACAGATTTTTCGGTAATGTTCTCGATTACCGAAAACATTACCGACCGTTCAGCTGTTGAGAATTCGGTAAATGAATTACCGAAATCGGTGATTTTTTCTAAGTGTGTAGTTAGTCGTTTGTCACTTCGTTTGTGGTCCAACGCTCTGGAACGGGTTGTACAACGGCGTGCTAACACTGAAGCAGACCAAAGGAGTTGAGATCGTTGGCTTTGCGGACGACGTCGTCTTGACGGTAACAGGCGAAACGCTGGAAGAGGTGTAAGTGCTATTTGTTCAGTAACTGTAAAGTGGTACAGCGGGCAGAAATCACCGTCGGGGAGCACGCCATAGCCTCGAAGCGTGTGTTGAAATACCTGGGAGTGATGATCGATGATCGGCTAAACTTCAACAGTCACGTTGAATATGCCTGTGAGAAGGCTTCGAAGGCAATCATGCCAAACAATTCTGGTCCTAGCAGTAGCAAGAAGCGTCTTCTGGCCAGTGTGTCGTCGTCGATACTAAGGTATGGAGGTCCAGCCTGGGTTGCAGCGCTGGAAACAAAGCAGATCCAAAGGAACCTGAGCAGTATGTTTCGGCACATGGACATGCGAGTCGTGAGTGCATACAGAACCATCTCGTCGTATGCGTATGCATTATCGCCGGTATGATCCCTATCGGCATCACCCTGGCGGATGACAGCGAGTGCTACACAGCAAAAAAAAAATGTAATATCGATCAATGTAATTCAAGCTGATGTATGAAATAATGATGTAATAGCAAAAAGCAGATACAATATTACATCAATGGATGTAATTTTGTTCGCAGAA